CTGCTACAATACGTAGACGTGTAAAAGCACAACACTTGTTAGAATTGTTGAATGCACGTTCAGTTCTCACATTCATCCGAAACTGCCCTCAAGTTAAAACGCCAAAGTTAAAATATTTAAAATTTAAAACATGTTACATTTTACTTCAAATGTTTTAAACTTACCCACATAAATCTTCCACTACAAGAATTCAAAAACATCCAAACAAACTTACAATTTAGCATGGAAAAGGAACAGAACAGATTTCCTCAACAGTATAAAGGATGCAAACCAAATTGGTTATAAATTTTAACAAAGTCTTTCTAACCACACTTGTATGTAGGTAGGCTGAAAAGTAATGCACACATGCTTGTAGAACGCGAACGAAATGACCTTCAGAAGCGCGCCATGTGGCATGTGGAAGTAACATTCCCCCCTCAATATGCATGCGCAGGTTTGAGGCCGCTGCATTCATCCAGTGTATTTTGAGAAGTGGAAGTATGGAGACGTGTTCTAGTGCTATGTCAACGCGAGTTAAACAGCGTGCTATTATCGAATTTTTAACTGCTGAAAAAGTGACTCCTACTGAGATTCATCGTCGTTTAAAGGCTGTTTGTGGTGACGATGCTGTTGATAGGTCTACTGTAAATCGATGGTTAATAAAATTTTGTGGTTGCGAGCCTGGAAAAGCCATAATTGTTGACGAAAGACGCAGCGGACGTCCGATCACTGCCACAGACGATAATCATCGCAAACTCATCGACGATTTGATTCAAAATGACCGGTGAATCACTCAAAAGTGTATCGCAAACCATATTGGAATATCCAAGGAACGTGTTGGCTTCATTATTGAACAATTGGGATACCGTAAATTCTGTGCACGATGGGTACCACGCCGTCTCACAGACGAGAACAAACATCGTCGATTGGAATGCTGCGAGCAACTTTTGCAGCGCTACCGTGACGAAGGAGACGACTTTCTTTTGAATATTGTGACGGGGGACGAGTCATGGGTCCATCGTTACGACCCGGAAGAGAAAAGACAGAGCGCTGAATATCGACATCCGTCTTCTCCTCAGGCGAAAAAGTTCAAAACACAACCATCCGCCAAAAAACTTCTTTTGATTGTGTTTTGGGATGCTCACCGAGTTTATGTGACCGATTTTCTGGAATGAGGGGCAACGGTAAATTCTTCTCAGTACATAGAGACTCTAAAACACCTCCGGCGTCGAGTTTGTCGAGTTAGAGGCAGCCTGGCGCCAATAATCTTGCAACATGACAATGCTTGTCCACACACCTCGCGCGCAACTGAAGAGGCTCTGCGAAACCTGAAGTCTGAACCGATTCCACACCCTCCTTATTCCCCCGGTCTTGCGCCTTGCGATTTTTATTGTTTTCCTCCACTCAAGAGAGACCTCAAGGGTAATCATTACACCTTGGACGATGAGGTGAAGGCAGCTGTCAAGTCCTAGATTCGAGAAAAGTCGGAAGAATTTTTCAGTGACGGAATGAAAAAACTTGTTACACGTTGGGAGAAATGTGTTAGCCTTAATGGTGACTATGTTGAAAAATAAATATATGCTTTTGAAACTTAAGAATTCTACTTTAATGTACTTTTTGCCCGATTTTGCTATTGTTTTTGTTCGCGCTCTACAAGCATGTGTGCATTACTTTTCAGCCTACCCACATAAATAAACTAATTATAATAATGTATAGATATTTTAATATATTCATAAACATCACTGTAGTTGTTAAAGGGTCAGATTTTATAATCAGGACACTGTAATGATATTATATGTATGTATTGATATTGACCAATCACACTGTAATAGTAGTTTCTGCAAGTACTGATATGTCATTCTGAAGATGGTCTCTGAGACCGAAACAAGTCAAGGATGAAAGATTAAAAAGGAGAAAAGAAATTTATCAATCATACTGGATGGAGTTGATAACCTTTTATATATATATATAAAACACACACACACCCTAAACTACACATAGGTTCGGATCACACAGAGAACAAATTCTACAGCATCAACAAGAAGACAAAAGTACACGACCGAAATTCATCAAACCATAATGACGGAACAATAATAGAAACGAATTAAGATATATTATATTTTAGCATCTGTTGCATTGAGGCGTCATCCTTATTATCAAAGTATCCATCAATAATGCAACAATTCAAAAGACATTAGGAATATGTTTCACATTAAAAATGCATTTCAACACTTTTTGATGTTGTTAAGATCATTACATGTCGATAAGACATTAAAAGTGCATTCTGTTCATGAAAAGTAATTATCCAGTTTTCTAAGTTGTCTTTAGTCATATATTTGTACTACTTTTTGATATATTTAGGCCACATGGGCCATCATCAGGTTCATTCATTCTTACATGTTTATTCATCCTATAGATCAGATTTCACTGATGTGGAACATGTCACATGATATAAATTATAAAATTAGCAAAAATACAATAAATTCTTAACCAATAAACTAACAAAATATGTAATAATTGTTTACATCTAGCATGTTTCATTATCCAGTACTTAAGAATTTATCATTCATATAGAATTCAATTGAGTAGTAACACCCATTAATGAGTAAATTCTTCAGTTCCTTTTAAACTGGTTTTTATTCACAAGTTGTTTTATATTATTAGGTAATTTATTATAAAAGATACAACCAGCAATTGAAGGTTTACTGTTATAAAGTTCTAAGTTATGCACCCATTTATGGTAGTCATTGTTGTTTCTTGTATTGTGTGTGTGTGTGTGTGTGTGTGTAATTTCCCTTCTGTTGGGGAGACCACTACACTGTATACTTGTTCACTGTGCTTCCATGCACGTCAATATTTGGCACTATATCATGATCAGAATGCCGTCCTTGCACACTACTGTGACTGTGGTAGTTTTGTATGTCGCATGTTTCACTAGTGCAGCTGTAGGTGCATGGAAGCCCAGTGAACAAGTATATAGTACAGTGGCCTCCGCCAAAGAAGGGAAATTACTTGATGATGGCCCATGTGGCCGAAACATGTCGAAAACTAGACAAATATATGAAGAAAGCAGTCTTCTGGGATTTGGCACCGTGTATATGTGGTGTTAACCGACGTTTCGGAGGAACGTATCGCCCCCATCTTCAGGGTTGAAGAAAAAGTATAAGTAAATCTGCAAGCGACACGGTAAACCGTGTCTCACGGTGTTGTCGCTTGCAGATTTACTTATACTTTTTCTTCAACCCTGAAGATGGGGGCGATACGTTCCTCCGAAACGTCGGTTAACACCACATATACACGGTGCCAAATCCCAGAAGACTGCTTTCTTCATAGTCACCGCCGTGAAAGCCTCAAATCTTACATAGACAAATATATGACTAAAGACATTTTGGAAAATTGGATAATCACTTTTAACGTACAGAATGCGCTTTTAATGTCCTATCGACATGTAATGATTTTAATATCAGAAAGTGTCGCAATACATTTTAATGCGAACCATATTCCTAATGTCTTTTAAATTGTTGCACTATTGACGGATACTTTGATAATAAGGAAAATTAAGATATGACCTACTTCTTCTATGATTACATAGAAAATGTCTCTCAATATCGAATAAGCCTCCCAGCAATATTCTAGCCAAACGGATAAGAAACATGACTGGGGCAGTCAAAAGAGCTATCAACATCATCATTTGAAAACAATTAATTCATAGCGACAATAAACTAAAATATTGTAATTCTGCTGTTACTTGTAAATACCATACACCAATGTTCAATTCGATTGGACACGGATATGTACTTCGAACAGACAAAACTATGACAAATATAATTCTGAAGCTAAACGGTTAACACATATTACGTACCTAATTTCAACGGGAGATAATCCAAAATACTGCTTCTCGTACAAGACAACTTTCCACAACAATGAAATAATCTCAACGATCTCAACTGCGTGACAAACGTAACAAACTACATATTATAAGCAAAACTTCCTCAGCAACACACTTAAAAAAAATCTCAGCTACCAACACCAAGACCGAACAAGACTCACTGAACAGGACCACCAACATAGCAACAGCAAACTAATAACGCAGTAAGGCCGGGCGCTCACCAAGAAAACTGGAAACCGCAACGCAACCGCGATTTCCGAGAAGTTTTATCAGCCAGAGTTGAACACGTGTACTATTTGTTTTTTTTTTTATTGCTAGTGGGGTGGGACTAAGTTCCTTGTACTGCGGCCACTTCTGGCCTATTGTACCAGCTCCAGATGATATGTGAGGGTGATTGTGGAGCAATTGGTGGAATAAGGACTGGCAGGGGAAACCAAAGTACTCGGAGAAAACCTGCTTCAGCGCCATTTTGTCCACCACAAATCCCACTTCACCAGGCCCGGGCCGCCGCGGTGGGAAGCCAGCGACCAACCGTATTGGCGCGGCCTTGAACACAAATAAGTAAATGGGGCTGCGCAAATTGAGGAAACGGCAACGCAACTCGCGGAGAGACTGAAAAACTCAATTTCCTGGCAACGGAGCATGCCAGTCTTCACACGATCAAGTTCGATTGAGTTGCCGCTTAGATTCACAGAAATCAGCTGTTCTGTAACACGCTGCAGTGATTCTTTCCTTTGTTAAGATGACGCGAAGAGTGGACGAAGCTGCTCATTTGTTCTTGTGTTGTTAATTGAGCAAGAGCCGGCGTATGTGAGAAACGCCGTCCAGACTATGCCAGGCGTGACAAAGTAGATTTGGCCTGGGAAAAAAATTTTCATGAGATAAAGGAATCTGATATGTGTGTGTGTGTATATATATAAAACCACAACTTATAATTGGATCAAAATACATAATTTGTCTGCTAAAACAATGCAAACAACTACTATAACAGGACCCGTGCTTTGTGATACAAGTCAGCAGTTGGGTTAGTCTTCATCTTTTACAATCATGAACTGAATTCAATTAATATATCTTCATTGGTTGCATCATGCTGTGTGTTACAGATATATGTAGGAATTATGTTAGCGTCAACACAACAAATATTCAGTTTTATTTTTGATCGTATAAAGCTCGGTTACATAAGACCATCAGGCAGTTGTACGTATAGTCATTGAACGGTCATTGAAATACCGATACGGATCCTTATAGGTGCTACACGCCGTGTTATGTATTGACATAAAACACTTGCCTCAAGTTGATGATATAATAAAGTAGCAAATACATAAATAAGACAAATGTAAGGGTATATCGTATATCAAATTATAATGTGCTGCAATGCTATAAAATATTAAAAGTATATTATATATTAAAAATGTGAAAGGTTTTTCGATGATAGGTTAAGAATTGTATGCCAACTTAAATATATTAAGTTTCACTGCTACAGTGTAGAAAATTGGGCACGTATGTTGTTTGTAGGTCTTATTGTAGAAGCTTTCTACGTAGTAAGCCCGGTTGTGAAACGCAACAACAAGTTTCTATGATGTACGGGTTGTGGTGTGTGGATACTGATATGATCGTACAATATGGCGTATGTGTTCCTTGTCTGGGCGTGCATACGTTCTGTGTGTTCTACACTGTGCGGTGGTTCGATGTAGATCCAGAACCTTTTGTCTACTTGTCTGCTGTCCGAAAACAAAAATTAGAATATACGAAACTATAATTTTGACTACGGTTCTGCTGACACAACTGTACGAAAATTTGTATCTTCATCTTCGAATTTGAGGTCCTACAAGATCCACCAATAAAGAAAAACTTTCAATGCTCATTCTGTAAAATGATTTAAATAGTTCTGTATTCTGATTAAATTCTTTCGAAACAATATAAACACCTGAGTTTAAATTATCACGAAAGAACGGGTGCACCCAATGTTTCCGTTTCTCCTGTCTTCTCCTCTTACGCAGTCTCAACCACCACCATATCATTACAGGAACAATATTATTATCTGACATTGTAGAAGAGAAGTGTACGAAATTGGAGGGCAAAGACGCCGACTTGAGAAGATGTGAGCAACTGATCGAACGCAAGTTTCCTCAGTGTGCGCCTGCTAAGTTGAAAACCAGTTGCCTGCTTGAAATCGGCGATATTTATCGGAAATCGCTGTTTCATTGCGGTTGCCAGTTTCTTTGGTGTGTGCTCGGCATAAAACCTGTAAAAAAAAAAAACGTGATTTCAGTCCGCAAGCTAATCATACCGACCGAGCGACCGCCGCTTGTCGGCGAAGTTTAGTGCCAACTTTTGCAGATAGAGGGTGTCGCGTGGTCAGCGCAACGAATCCCCTGGGCCGTTAATTTAGGCTTTCTAGACCGGAGTCTCTCTATTTCCTTGAAATAGCTCCTCAATTATCATCACGAGGCTGAGTGAACCCCGTTCCAGACTCACTACTTCTCCGAAATAATCTGGTAGGGCCGGGAAATGAACCCGGACTTCTGGATCTGTTGCCAGGAACGCTGCCCACTAGACCACAGAGGCAGTCGTTAAGACGTTACTCTTATCATAATGTCGCTACATATGATAACATTGCTTAGCATTTTAGGTTCTTACAGCGGTGGTTGTAAAGAGTTCTGTCACCTGGGATATAGGACTCTGTGGACTGTCGAAAGACAGCCGACATTTCGGGTGAACATGTCTCCCTAATCTTCTGCTTTGAAGAATAAGCCAAGCAAGAAACCAGTACGAAGCAGGTGTCAGACAGACCTCTGATGCTACGAGATCGGGGGTGGCATGCTCCTCCGAAACGTCGGGTGCCTTTCAACGAACTGCGTGGCGCTATATCCCAAAAGGTAGAATTATTAAGTATAGCACTCTTAATAAAACAAAACGCTACCGGACGGAAGTGTATTTGGATTCACAATTGTTTGCTTGAAAGGAAAACTAAGGGGGGGGGGGGATTTTACACTGTACAGATAATCAAGGGACAAGACCAGTTTCATCAGTATTTTTGAATGGCAAAGTACCAGTTCAGTTTTCGTGCAATGGTAATTTAAGAATTCCTGAAGAGACACAATACTTCATTTAGGGACGTAAATATAGAAACATAAAATCATTGCAAATATTCCGCAAACTGAACTCCTGTGAACTGTCAACTCAGCTATGTATATCGCCATCGTTTCTTAGCCTTCCTTGCAGATATTCACTGAACTGTCATCCCTCAACTGACTCTCTCACTCATGAACCAACTACTTCACTTCACTCAACTGAAATGCACTCAGCCAAAGTCAAAGTCACATTGCGACTGACGGTCAGTCAGTCACTAAGTCTTGGTGTCGAGCCCCATTTGGGGCTCATGACCAGATATTCATTACTGTTTGACAGTTACGGTCTTGTTTTTGTGGGGCGCAATCTCTGACGAGAGGACAGGCCTGTCTTTTGTATACTCGTATGCTGCTGGCATTTACTAACGCAGTCTTTTTAGGGTCCGAGTCCCTAGGTACTCGCGACCATATTTTGTCGTCTCAGATTCGAGACTTCCCTTTTCGTCTCCCCCTACGACCCGCAGGGAACACTCAGCCAAGTCAAAGTCAAAGTCACATTGCGACTTACGGTCAGTCAGTCAGTCAGTCAGTAAGTCTTCGTGTCCAACCCCATTTGGGGCTTATGACCAGATATTTATTACTGTTTGACAGTTTCGGCCTTGTTTTTGTGGGGCACCCTCTCTTAAGAGAGGACGGGTCTGTCTTTTGTCAGTCGTCGTCCGCAGTAATAAATAATTTGTCATAATGTAAAGGATATTTACATTTTACATGTTAAACATGTATATAAAATATATACAGGACCTCTGGATGGCTACCTAGCGTTAGTCCGGTCAACGTTTTCGCGGAAACATGTTTACCGATCCGTCATCAAGCAACGCATGTTCCTTCTAGCGATCACTGAATATCAACGGTACTACACGTTACAATACGAAAATACTCGTTAAAGTATATGAATATGTTATATGTCCACTGATGATTCATTCGCTTTCGGTGACAATTGTGGTTATTGGCTCGCCTTCGTTTGATGTTCACACATGGCACGACTTATATAGTTTTTTTTTTTTCAGTGAACGTCTAGGCGATACAAATATGAAACCAGATATACCCGATTAATTAGTTCTCCTGCCATGAAAATTGAGAATGGCGAGCATGAATTGTTTGACGTCAAAACGGGTCAGGTGTACGTACAGTACTGATACATGTAAGAAGATTCATCTTGAACATTAACCGCAGTGTTTGTAACTGCAATGGAACCTACCCAACAAAGCCATTACAATGGCCGTTCAGTAATGTTGTGGTTATGAGTTGTGGCAATTGAAAAATGATTTTAGCGATTATTGCCTGTATCGAACGAATCAAAGAGATGGCTGTACAGGTCTGTTTCGTTGGAAAAAGCAGTTTGAAACGCCCTTAATATATCTTCCCCGGCAATTTCCAGTGCAGTCATGAAAATCTGATGTATGCCTGTTAGTGCCTATTGGTTTTAATTTTTCTGGTGGTTTTGGAGAATAGGGTTATAATAGGACTCTGTTGGTATATGGTGGCATAATGCTGTATAGGAAGAGAACTGGGCTGGGGCAGGGGGGAATAAGCTGGATTATTGGAGGGTATCTTGGCCGAGGTGCATAATTTAAAAGTCCTCTCAGTCTGAACAATTCTCCATATAGTGTAAGTTCTCATTAAACATTTCATTTTGAATATCAGAAAAAAATATAGACTGTTGTCAATATTTAAACAAACATTTTCACTTTTTCATATGGAATGTTAGGGCCTGGCATGTATTTATTTTGTTTGATTGTAAATGAAGTAACTGTAATGAAGAACTGTCACACTGGAGACAAATGTAAGTTAACAGCTATGTGACTTTGGCATTGATGCTGTCATTGTGTAAAAGATAGTTATTGTACTGACCAGTATTGCACAGACTTTAAATTATTATGAATGTCTAGTGTTATCTGAACTTCTCAGTCCTTGAAAGATGCAGGAGTTCTGTTGTGTGATCTCATTACATCAGCAATTTACTTGAGACTGGTGAGTATGTTATTGTGTAGTGTCTGGATACACTTACAGTGCCTCCATTTGCTGTTGTGCTTGCTATGCTACTGAAGCACTGCTTTGACAATGCTGCATGTTGTATCATGTAACAACTATATATTTATCACTGTGATGTTGATGTGAATACTGTCAGCAGAAGTCCATCAAGTACAGCCATTAAATATCCTGCCAGTGGTAGCATATCAGAAATTCATTAAGTATTACTGCCAGTGTTGGAATTGTGTCACAAGCAAGTTACGTATGTGTGATACTTTACATGAAATGTGGTTTCAGTATATAGAGGATACATACTGGCTGTTCTTTCTGATATCTTTCATGATTTTTCTTTGTTCCATTATATATACAGTAAAACTTGGTTATAGCAACATCAGTTTCTGCGACACCTTGTCTATTGCGTCAAATATTCAATGGTACGAACTAATTCCTCATAAAGCAACTGTTTTTGTACCTTGCTTAGTACGACATGCACAAATGCATCAACCTCGTATGTAACGTCATTTTCATTCCTGAATTTCTCTGATATCGTGGGAAAGTTCGATGTGTCTGCCCACCCTCACTTTCTCTACTTGCTGACGTGACTGTCCTGGAAGAATACGACCGCGGGCTGCAAGAGGAGCGTGGGTTTTATGCGAAAACAAGGGTGTGGGGTGGGACTGCGTGAATAGTGCAAGAGGACGCGGCAGGTTGTTAACTGCATTCCTTTCCTAGAATCTCGTCTAACAGGACCTCACATTGTCTACTTACCCTATAGTGTTCCTGCCTAAACCCAGAGAAGTGTAGTAGCGAAAACATGGCAATGAAAAGGAAAGTTTTAAGCAATGAAGAGAAAGTTAAAGTGATTCGTGAAATAGAAAATGGAAGGAAAAAAGCTGATGTATGCCGCGAATTTGGTTTGGTGAATTCTGCAGTACAAATGATATGGAGAATCCATATTAGTTCCACGTTAATGTTACGTTAGTCTGTACTTAACTACGTATTTCACTAAAAAATGCAACATTTTAACTCGGTTTTTGGTAGATTTTTACGTGACTAACATAAGGCTACTGTGGAAGTGCCCATTTCGGTTACAACGACATTCATTTATAACGACACTATTTTTAGGTCCCTTTGATGATGTTATAACCAAGTTCTACTGTATATACCAAGATAGTATTTTAAAAATAGCCTGTGATATCTTCCTCATTTGGGGAAGTCCTCAGGTTACAGCTTTTCTGGAAGTTTTATTTTTTAAGAAGAATTATACATGTTAGTGCAGCTAGAGTAGTACATCAGATGTAGAGTGAATGTATGGTGAATTCGAAGTATAGTATTAAATACAGTGTTGGGACAAATCTTTCAGACACACTTGGAGACGTTAGTTTGGGTCCGTATTCTTCAGTGTGGGAACCTTCAGACATGTAGTTGCTGTTTTGAGTGTTTTGTAATTTTGGCACTAAGATTTTGTAAAATTGAAGTTACTAAATGGAAGTTTAAAAAAGAAAGGGAGAGAAGTAACATGAGCTTTATTATAAATAAAGATAAAACTTTTTTTGAAAGTAGAATATGGCTGTCTAATTATGAAGCTGAACCTGGGTTATGTTTGATTCAAGTTCGTGGTTTTGACATTTATGATGTCTGGCTGTTGTGATCCCAGTTTTTGTTCTGCAAAAGACTTACACTTTTAGTTTCTTTGTTATCATAGTTTATATTCTTGTTGCCATGAAAATTAGAGTAATGAAGTTTCCAGCCTGTACTGTAGGGTTAGAGCAGTATTAGTATGGTTCACATTCCCTGTATTTTGTGTTGATTAAAGGGACATTAGTGTCTGCATTCTGTTGTGGTTTCCTATTTCATTTTTCAGGTGGCAGTTACAGATGAAATGCTCAGTAATGAATGTGTGTTGGCATCAGCAGAAGTTCAGGCTCTAAAACAGATCATCAGAATGACTCATGAGGATTTAATGATTAAGAATGAACAGAAGGAAATGAGTGATTACACATCAGGTGATAATAGTAGAAGTGTTGGGATTGACACATGTGATTTAAACTCCTACATCAAGGAAAGAACAAAGAGTATAGATGTATTAAACAAGAGTATAGCTGTTGACACAAGTGACTTGGAGCTCCACTATGAATATTATAAACAAGAGCATGTGAAACGTACTAAAACTGTTTCAACAGACACTAGAGATCTTGACTACCTCAAACGAGTGACCTCTACCTCTGCAGTATCAGTTGATACAAATGATTTACAGATCTATATTGACACACATTTTGCAAACATATCCTGTCATAATGGGATTTGTAAAACAGAAACTGATTTGGACTGTGATGCTGAAAGTACCCCAAGATGTAGTCAACAAAACTCAAATTCTAGAAATGCTACCCCCCTCTCTCCTAAATCAAATGACTGTTATTACCATCAGAAGGAAGAGAGGAGTAAGTCTAAGGATGGAAATTGCAGTTTAGGATCAAGACCGACTCAGAACACTGAAGATGATTCTAGTAACGACAACAAGTTAGATTGTGGTCTGGACATAAATGGTGATTCTGATTCGAGTGAAAATGAAGACAGTTGTGAAGGAAGTACAACAAAGGGAACACATTCTGAAATTAAGGTTGAAGAAAATAATGAAAGAATTGTTCCTACAAAAAGAAAAGTTGGTAGGCCTAAGGGAACAGTAAGCCGCTGTGTAAAATCAGCTAATCGAAATCCAGAAAGACGGTTTGAATGTGAAGTTTGTAAGGCTATGTTCACTCGCAAGCACAGCCTCATGGTGCACCTTTGTATTCACAGCGGACTAAGACCATTTCCTTGTTCAGGATGTGGCAAGGCATTCTCAACATCGAGCCAAGCACAGAGACATGCTCGCATGCACCCACAGGCTTCTGCAGATGAAATTGTAAAGGAAGAGCCAGGGTATGTAAATTCTTTATATACACTTTGCATGGACGGAGGTCTACACTTGCAGAAATTAATCTGTAAAATCTGAGAACACTTAGTTTAACACATTAACAGGGCAGTAATAGGGTACTGACTCAAGGTGCACCATTCAAGGGTGTGTAATGAAACTGTAATTTGTTTTGTTGCATACAATGGAACTCCCACATAATTTTCCTCAATTTAAAGTTCTTCTTTGTTTATTGTTCAGTTTCAGTTACCCTTTTCAGAAATATCATTGTTAACTTTTCTCTGCTTAAGATTAGCCCTAGTTTAGAGTTTAAATCCACTGGTTCCCAAAGAAACCTAAAGGGTGGGGGGCATTGTCTGATTTTAAGTTATTCCTGATTTTTATATTATTGTGTAAAATACTTTGCACTACAGCATTACTTGAGAAGCCCTCTAGAATAGTATGTGATTTTGAAGAATGTATTTGTTAGATGTAATCTATTTTTAAATGTAATCCTTACAGATCTGATACTGGAATAATTCTGAATGAACACAAAGATGAGGATGAAGAAGCTGATGTTATAGGTGATGATTTTACAGGCGTTACCAGCCTTCACTGTATGCTGTGTGACCTGGACTTCGATTGTAAACAGTCTTTTACGCAACATAAACGTGCAGCTCATGGTTTGACAAATCGACAGACACGAGAATGCCTAACTTGTGGTAAAGCTTTTACGTGTGCCAGTGCACTTAAATGTCATGAAACCGTTCACACTGGTAAAAGAGATTTTGCTTGTGTGACTTGTGGAAAGGCTTTCCCAACCAAGACTTGTCTGAAAGCACATGAAGCAACTCACACTGGTCTGAAACGATTTGTTTGCCAAACATGTGGCAAGGCTTTTGCTAAGAAAGACAGTCTTAAAGTTCATAATCGTAAACACACAAATGAGCGTCCATTCAGTTGTGATCTATGTGGACGTTCGTTCGACAGGGCTTTCACTTTGAAGAACCATCGACTTACTCACACAGGAGAAAAAACACACATGTGTGCTGTATGTGGCAAAGCATTTTCTACTCGTGGTGCTCTGAGTACCCATGAACGTATTCGTCACAATACAGATCCCGATAAACCAAAAGTTTACAAAAGGCGAGCTCGAGATTTTGAACCAAGTGTTTGTGAGCAGTGTGGGAAAGTGTATTCTAATCGTGGCAATTTGAGGATCCATAAAGCCAGTGCTCATTCGACAGAAAAGCCCTTCCTATGTACAGCCTGTGGTAGAAGCTTTGCAAAGAAATACACCCTCCAGTGCCATGCGAGGAAACATTCAAATGAGCGCCCCTTCCCATGTGACCAGTGTAGCCAGTCTTTCTACCGTAAATCAACTCTAAAAACTCATAAACTTCGCCATACAGGTGCACGACCTTATGTGTGTCCGTTGAACTGTGGCAAAGCCTTCACACAAAGTTCAAGCCTTTCATATCATGTTCGTCATCATGATAGGCCACCAAGGGCCACAAATGGGAAGAAACGCAGAAGAAGGAAACCCAAATCAGGGGTTAGGTCTTCTCCCCTAATGGCCCCACTAGCTTTAGTGGGCCCTCTACCTCAGCCGCAGGAACCTCTCCCACCTCCACCCCCTTTGACATTCAATGCAGCTACCTATCAGCCAAATGGGGCACCTCCATGTGGCAGCACACAATCTCTGGCTCAACTCTGATTGGTCCATTATTGTGGGTGTCATTGCCAAGAATATTTTTAATTAATGAATGTTTATGCATATGGTGTGTGTGTTCCTTCAAGAGATCTTTTAAAGTGTCATGTGACATGTTACAGTGTTCACTTATCCTCCAAAGTTATTATATTTATATATTTTTATATCATTTTACTGTATAATGTGACACAGATGGTATGTAATTATTTAAAGTATGATTGGATCTTTATAATTTTGGTGTCTGTTTTAGATACAAATATAAATAAGTGTCCTGTGTTTGTCTATTGTGTAGTTTTAATAGTATTTAAGTCACTGGTTTCAAATTTTGAGTTTGTATTTCTGAAACCTTCCATTTTACACAGTCTATCAGGCAAAAAATGATTTGTTTCTCTGGCATGATGATATGCATTGCAACCTCACTGATTTGGAATCTGCAGTAATTTGGACAACTTTCTTCCCTACTCATTATGACCTTGATGATCACATTGCTGGTACATTAAATGTTTTTAAGAATGGTGTCAAAACCTACATTTTTACATTATATAACAAGTACATTTATTTTATGGTATACAATGTAATTTTCAAAACAAATTTGTATTGCCTAAAAAGACTTGTGATGTCCATTTTATAGCTTCCCTGAGCATACTTCCAAGTAGCACTTATATAATTCTGACTTTCACTAATTTGGACAAGTGTTCACTTGCAATTAGTCTGAATTAGTGACGTCTTACTGTGTTTAACAAATGGCATTAACATTTATTTCACAGTCTTGTCTGTTATCACAGACTTGAGGATAGGCATATATAATTATATATATATATATATATTATATATATATATAATTATATAATTATAATTATCCTTATGTGTCACACTGAAAGGGAACAGAGGGACTGGAAATAATATTCAGTTATGAATTATGGTATTAAGAAGAAACAAGCAGTCATCTTTTGAACAGTACTTTTTGCAGAGGAGGCTATGTGGACATGGCAGTGGAAGAAAAGTCAGAGCATCTCTGACCAGCAGTATAGGCTATATTCACAGCATAACTACCTATGGTGGATGTCCAGAAAATTCCAATTGGCTGGTATGGTCATATGCCATGGTTTTTGTTTTAATCATGGTGGTCTGAAATTAATTACATTTGGAATAAGAAAAAATGCTTCAACAGTAGAAAGAGTCTATTATTGTACCTTTTTATAAGAAAGGTGGTCCAACTGACTACAGTAATTGAGGCATATCAGTGTTACCAACTTGATACAAAATTTTATGCAACTGTCAGCTCTCTGTAACTGCATACATAGGTGAAATTATTGAGGATTATCAACATGGATTTCAATGTAACAAATCTATTACTAATTTTCATTTCATGCATCATGTTGTGTTATAATATATAACTTCTTTATTAAGACTTCCACAAACACAGCTATATTGAGGTCAGTGCCTGGTTTTGGCTCTGCTGCATGTTTCAGATATTAATAGCCATCGTCAGGCAAATACATGGCTAACATAAATATACTACTGAACTGCAGTATTAATAAAATTGGATACAATAATATTAATTATATTATAATACTTGATGTAAAAATACAATAAATTAGATTATATAAAACCAGAGTTATAATATAAAACAAGAATAAAATTCTTCGATTGATGCTTTACATCATCGAGTCAGTCGTTGGTGTTTGTGATTTTGTTTCGTTCCCATGGACAAATTAGAGTATTCTATATCTTGTGTATAAAAACTGTTATTAGAGGCTCGTGATGTAGATGTAGTAATATTAATGTTAATTTATATTCTCTGTAAAACAGACAATACTTTGTAAGATGAGGCACTGACTAAATACGAATTAACATTAATATTACTACATCTACATCACGAGCCTCCAGTAACAGTTTTTATACACAAAATATAGAATACTCTAATTTGTCCATGGGAACGAAACAAAATCACACAAACCAATGACTGACTTGATGACGTAAAGCATCAATCGAAGAATTTTATTCTTGTTTTATACTATAACTTTTGTTTTATATAATCTAATTGTATTCATATGTCAAGTATTTTAATATAATTAATATTATTGTATCCCATTTTATTAATACTGCAGTTCAGTGGTGTATATATTTTAGCCATGTATTTACCTGATGATGTCTATTAATAGCCAAAGCTTGTAGCAGAGCCAAAACCAGGCACTGACCTTGATATAGTTGTGTTTGTGACGGTCTTAATAAAAAAGTTATAAATCTATTACTAACCAAATATGCTGCATTCATCAGATAATTTTAGAGAAGTGGGAGTATGATGGGACAGTATGTCAGCTATTGCTGAAAGAACCCAAAAGATTCAGTTAGGATGGAAGTATTTTACAAATATTTTCATTGAGGTTGATATATTCATGAAATTAGGTAGGTTCTTAAAAATTTGTTTGATCTGGCTAGGTGAACACCTGATGTTTCATATACAGAACGGTGTAGAATAAAAGGAGAAGCCTTATCACCATTGATTTTCAATTTTGCTGTAGAGTATGCCATTAGGAAGGTCCAACAGAAACTGTGAGGGATTTAATTAATTTATATTTTAGTTAAGAATTGTGACCTTAACTCAGATTATATAGTGTTGAAAGGTTGGATTGTAGTTAAATATGAATGACAAAGAATGTGGAAGTAGGTGGTTATGGCCTAATTTAAGGCATCACCCTGCTGGTTGCATGTATGGGCTAAGGAAAACCACAGAAAATGTCAGTCAGGACAGTGTTTTGGTCAAATTTGAACCAGGCACCTTCAAAATGAGTCACAAGTGGTACTGCTTGAGAGTGCTTGCTTGGTGGATTGAAAGTGTGTAGGATACCTCAGCTTCTGGTCTATGCACATCGTAAGTTATTGGGCAAAAACAACTGCCATAAAGAAAAATACGTACAATCCAGAAGTATATGTAGAGAAAACTAGGTATATTCTAATCTCATCATCAGAATGCAGGAAAGAATCATAGTAGGTGATATATCATTTGAAGATGCGACAAAGTTCAAATATTTGGGAATGACACCAAAAAATCAAAAATATATTTAGAGATATTAATAGGTGATTAAATCAGTGAATGATTTTGCCAACATTCTTTTCAGAATATTTTGTCTTCCTGCATGCTGTTTAATAATATAAAGAAATAACAGGAGCCTGCAGAAAATGAATTATGTGTTACATAATTTGTACTACTTGCCAAATATTAGGATGATTAAGTTGTAGGTAAGATGGGTGGGATATATAGTACATCAGGGAGAGTAAGAGAAATACAATGAAAAGATTTGTTTGGAAAACCTGAAAGACCCAGGCATAGATGAAAGATTAATATTAAAATGAATTTGCTACATTCTTGATTTATGTACAATATTTCATAATCTATTGTGTAGGAAACTTGTTGTGAATTCTGTTAGCATGCAAGGTAATCTCCTTTCATGTTATAAAATGCCATCAAGTTTGTAACTGTGAGTTTGGCAAAATTTGGACTTCAAAGTATGGCTAGAGTAAAGACGTTTAATTATAGAAATATCTCAGAATTTTAACAAGAACTGGTCAGTGTATGTTGTGACTCGTATTTATATTATAACTGTAGTATATAATAAAGCCCAGTAAACATCATTTATAAAACAAAAACATTTAATGCCTTGGCTCAGAAACAGACACAAAGTAAAAGAATCTGATAATAAAGAAAAACAAAATCTAAGATATTTTGTGCCTTGAATTTGAATACTTTTCAAAATATGATTTCTTTAATTGCCATCAAAACTCTCTGTCCATCTTTGAGATTCTATTTGGTTCCTTAATCAGGTCTCACAGAGATATTTTTAAGGGATGAATAAAATTGGGCCAGTTTGTTATATTGTTTATGGTATACAGCTAAGTAACTAATAAGGGGATGCTTTGCCTACAGTTTTATTTAATAGTCTGTTGGAGATAAGAAGAAGAACCAAAATTAGTCCAAATGGAACCATTTTTAATGTAGTGATACTTGAGCAATCAGTGAAAGGGAATGTAGGAAGTATTAGAACAAGTGAAAAGGGAAACAATAAGGGTTGGATTACGAGTGAGTGAGAATAAAACCGATTATTTAAGGGTTATGAGGAAGTTAGCCAAATTCAACAGGATTTAAGTTACATCGTCATGTTTTTGAAGAGGTTAGGAAGTTTAAATATTTATCAATGTTATGGTTTATAACACTTTAAGTCTAGAGCTGAGCAGAAGGTGAAACATGATGAACGAATTAAAAGGATTAAATTATGTTAAGTACATGGACTAGGACATATTTGAGTCAGGTGTGTAGACCACTAACTTGTCAAGGGCTTGAAGACTCGGAACTAACAAAGAAATGAGGGAATTATATAAAAACCCCTGACCTGGTGATGGATATTAAAGGGAAGAAGTTCCACTGGTTGAGTCATATGATAAGACAGATAAAAAAACGGTAACTTAGACATTTTTTAAAAATATGTTGGTAGGTAGAAGAAAAGTAGGTAGGTTCAGATTGGTATGGTTAGAAGATGGAGAGAATGATTTTCTAGAGTTGAAGTGAAGAGATGGATCAAAAGGCTAATAATAAATAAAATGGCCATGTCTTCTAAAGGAGGCCAAGGTTTATAGATGACTAAATAAATGAATAATATAGTAAAATATCTTGCTTCTCTGGTGTTACTACTAATTGGCATATATCAGTACTCAGTTTCAGCGATTTATTCTGGACAGTAGTATTTTTTAACGTTTTGTTGGACTTTCATTGAGTGAACCATGGAGGCAGTATTTTGTTTCCTAAGATTTTCAAAATACTTTTGGTTAAAATGTGGATGTTTAGTTTCAATCTTAAGGTATACTATTTTCATACACTTACATTCTGTTTATGTAACATGTATATGATGCCACTTTTTTTTTTTCTCAACAATCAATTCCGTTTTCATTAAAATACTGATGTTGAAGTAACTGAACAACTTAATGTGTAACATGCATAAAGATTAGCTGCATGATTGATCAATATTGGAGGAAGCTCTGATTTCATTCTTGACAAGCTTTAATAACAACGTGACAATGTGAAAGAAAACCATACTGCATGCAGACACAGATTAACAGTGTGGCTGGAAATTACACATTGACTAAGTGACATGTAAACAGTTGCTTACAGTATGTCTAATAGTAAACAAATTTGAAGATGATCTGCACTATTCAGTGTACAGTTTGAATAGAGCTGCAGAATTGTCCTTAGAGATAAATATTGATAAATTAAGATTATGCTTCTA